GTAGAGAAGCTAGAAAAATCTTGAGGATCCGCCGAAAGTGTTGAATATGGAATACAGGTGATGCTGAGTCATTGTCCTTTATTGAAGTCATAATTAATCTGGTTTTGGAACATGACAAAATAGTCGTCTTCTTCTTGATCACTTGGTGATTTGGTGCTGTCTGAGTCTGCTTTTTGAGATGTTGAAGATCCAATGGCCATAATAATTTTGTCCATATCTTGAGGGCTTTGGCATTGAGCCAACTCAGCCAGAAGTCTTAATTTTTTGTGTCACAATTGTTGATTGTTGTTGAGGCTAACATAACTGAGGGTGTTGAGAAATCCACATCTGCACAGCTGGTGGACTAACATTTTGGACTGAAAAACTAGGTCACCATTTAATGAGGAATTTTCTTTCTAATTCCCTAAATTTTGGAGGACGAGGTGTTATGATATGAAATTGCCAACTCATTATCCAGGCAATTAAGAAATTGTTGGAGAATGCTAGCAAAGGCTCTTCACTATTGCTGAAACCCTTGGCAAATAAGAGATATCCTTCCAAGACCGAAGGTGGAAGGATTTTTTCATTTAAACCGAAAAAATTAAACCATTGTTGAAACTATTTTGGTAAAATTTTGGGACAAGTTCTATCAAATATAAAGAACCAAGAGTGTGTTGTATGTGTTAAACGGAAAGCATGAAACCAGGCTTTTTGATCATCTTTATAAGAAAATTCTTGTGGAATGAAGGTTTGAGAAAATGGGCGTTTTTGATAAATTCCAGTATGCTAGTCTTGAGGTCTCAAAACTTTTTTGATTTTGCATTTTGAAAAAGCAATTCTATTGGGATCATTTCTATTGGGATTATGGGTAATTTCTATAGAATCGGTATCAACTAAAATAAATTCATAGAATGTTTTTGTTTTTAATAAATCATCAGGAATAAAATAAAAATCTGGAGGAAAATTTTTTGATAAAGTTTCTTGCATAGTTTGTCCCCAGTATTCGGGTTCAATAATACAAATTGATTGAGTGATATCTTTCTCAATGTATTGAAATGTGGGATTAATGTTGACAGGCTTTTATGTGTAAGGTGTATAGGATGGAGATATTGTAAGAGCTTGTTGGTAATTTCTTGGTGGAGATGAAGAAACTGATTCTTCATCAAGAAGAGTAAACCGGTTTGATTGGGTGATAATGTTTTTCTGTTTATTGGGTTTTGAGGATTTTGATTGAGAAAGTTTTGTTTGTGGGGCAATAGGTTGTTGAGGTGGTAACATCGCATACGATGCTTTTGATTTTGGATTGTTTTTGGATTTGATGGGAGTGCCCATCTTTTCCTCACTTTCTCTCAAAAAATTATGTATCCTGTAAGTTGTTGTGATGAGAGAGACTAATAGAAAAACTTTTTGACTTTTTCATTTTATTGAAAACAAAATTTTGAAACTTCCCAAATCTCATTGCAAAAAGTTGAAAACAAGTTTTTGTAATGCAAGCATCCAAAATTTTGTGGTAATCAAGCCATTCTTTGGTAGGGACAATTTCTAGACTTTTTAATTTGGTAATAGTGTTTATATTTGATATTGAAATATTTTTTAATTTACTAATATCTTTTATTAATGGTGGATTGACGAATTCAAATGTAACATTTTGTCCTAAAATATTGGTTATAATTCCTTTATTAGTTACACTAAAAGGGTAAATTTGAGTGATAAAATGAGCACCTAATATAACGTCTTGATCTAAATCTTTTACTAGAATAAAAGTGTTTTTAATGCAAAAATTGTGTATACATACATGAGCATTAGATAATTTATAATTAATATTTAATTGTTGACTGTTAGCTCCATATAATCTTTCTTTTGTTTTTTCATAATATTTTGTTGGAATTAATCCGTCTCTTATACAATTTTGGTCTGCTCCAGTGTCTACTAAAGCTTATGTAATAATATCTAATTCATGATTAATATTCATCCTAATGTAAACATGCTATTTTTGAAATTGAATTTTAGAGATTTCATTAATAAATGCTTCTTCAGTTTCTTTAATATGTAATTTTGATTTTGAGGTTGATGGTTGTCCTACAGTTTCTTTTGAGGATTTTAAATATAATAAATCTGTCTTGATTTCAATATTATCGTTTTGTAATTCTTCAACTTGATTTTTCAAAATATTGATTTCTTTTTGTAAATCACTTAAAGTAACTTGTATGGGTTTGTCAAATCTTTTTAATATGTCTTTTAAGTTATAATTATCTACATCTTTTTGTTTTTCCTCGGATAAAATTAATTCTTTGAGTTTTACTAAATATTCTCTTTTAATGTCTTCATCCTGAATTTTGTTAATAATATCTAATAAAAATTCTTTTAATTTGGTGATAACGTTTATTGACTTAGGTCTAAATGTTGATATCATATTTATTGATTTCATTGCACAGTAGCATGGCCCCATGCAACCACAATCATCAGAGTCTTGTGAAGACTCACTCATTGATTCAAAAGAATTTTCTTGAATTTGATAAATCACGTCTTCATTATCTGTATTGTAACTAGATTCTTCTTCAGAGTCTGTTTGAATAATTTTTAATAATTGTTGTTTTAATTCTGAATCTATTTCTAATTTTTTAATTTAATTTTTCATAGGACACTTAGTTGCATAATGACCTTGTTGTTTACGTTTCTAACATGTGATAGGTTTTTTGGATATTTTCTTATTAAAAGATTTTTTCTTTTTACAAGGTTTATCATAAGATTTTTGTTCGTATTTATAATCTTTTTGTAATAAGGTTTTCTATATTGTTTTTGTTTTTTATCGTTTTTGTACCTAATAGAGGGAGGTAATATTTTTTCATAACCATATTGACTACAAAATCCATTTAATTCTGTTTTCTTATGTTTTAATTCACTTTTTAATTTAGCTTTTAATTTTAAATCGGTGCAAATTATTAAAGCTTCGTTGTTAATAAAACTAATTAAATCTCCATATGTTAATTCTTCATAAGGTATATTTCCATCATATTTTTTGTATAATGCATTCTTAACAGTTTGACTAAATAATCTAGGTAGACCATCTAAGAACCATTCTCTCCAATAGGGTTTCCTACAGTCTGTTCTTGTGAATACTTTTTGTAAAAATATATCCTTATACCATCTAAAATCTGCCATGGTTGGACATCTTAAGTTTGATAATATTTTTTGTGATATTTTCTGAAAGCTTGTTGGGTCTCCTATAAAGTTTTTTGTTATTGCGTAAATTAATGTGGCTACAACGTCTCCTTCCTCATGTTCATATTCTATTTGACTAGTACCTTCTATTTTGACTTTCCTAGTCTTTTTTGTTGCGTATAATATGTGACATTTATGTGATTCTAGTAAATCATTATCCCACCAATTTTTTAACATTCCTGTAAATCTTGAGACTAATATTTTTGCTATTTGATTATCAGTGTTGTCATGTGATTTATGAGCTAATGCTGACATAGTCATTTCTTGTAAAATATTTAGTGTTCAGCTAATCCGTCTATATTCCATTCATCTATTCCTGTTCCGGTGTAGGAAGATCTTGCTATTTGTGTTACATCTTCAAATTGCGTATCTGGTAAAGAAGGTCTTGGGTAATAGTTTTGAGTTTTAGGGTATTTCATGTTATTTCTCATTTTATTAATAGATAAGTTTTAAAAATTTTGATTTAATTCTTCTATTGGGTCGGTGTAACGCCCGACATGGAGGTACATGATTTAATTTATGTTTTTATAGCCCTTAGTTAATTTTTGTTAAAATGATTTTAAGAGAATGTAAAGAAAATACCTTAAACTTGTATTAAGGGTAAAATGGTCTTTTCACTCAAAATTAGTTGAAAAAATGGAGAGTGAAAAGAGAGAGAATTTCATAGAGAATGCATTAAAAATGAGGGCATTATGGTAATTGATTAAGGGACATAGATGAAATTTCTAAGAAAGAGTAACATATGCATACTTAAAGAATTAAAGAAAGAAAAAGTGTTAAAAAGAGAAAAGAATAGATTGTGCGATGGGGAACTGTGAGTGTTAAGAAGAAATTCTCGCATACATGCCACCTTAATTGAGTGACATATGAAGAAGAAGAATTGTATGACCCGTAAGAGTGTATGTGGATGAGGGTTGTACCAAGAAGAAATCCTACATGCACGCCACCTAAATTGAGTGGCCTAAGAAGAAAGAAGATATTTGTACAGTCCGCAAGAGTGTATATAGATGGGGACTGTACTCACTCACACGGCCAAGGCTCCAAATCCATGCATCAACCGAGTCCGATCAGCAAAAAATAAGAAAATAAAGAATGAGAAAAGAAAGAATAAGAATAAGAATGAGAAAAGAAAGAATAAGAATAAGAGAATAAGAATGAGAAAAGAGAGTGAGAAAGAGAAAGTAAGAATAAGAAAGAATGAGAAAGCTTGAACAAGCAAAGAAGAAGAAAAGAAAAGAAAACAAGAACGAATAGAAAAGAAAATGGAAAAAGAAATAGAAAGAAGAAAGAAAATACATTTTTGCATTATTGCATATGCATTTCATTCATGCATATTACCATAAATTTCATCATGGTTGAAAAGAATAGAAAGAATAGAGAAAGAAAGAACAGAAAGAACAGAGAGAATTCAAAAGAAATAAAAGAACAGTGAGAATTAGAAACAAAGAAAGAATTAAGGATTAAAGAAAGAAGAAGAGAATTAAGTAAGGAAATAACCAAATAAGGAGAAGAGTTAAAAGATTTACTTACTGAGCATTTTTATGCTCACCCCGTTATTTTTCCATGTTTTTGCAGGAAATAGGTGAGCAACGGTCGAAAGAATGTCGACAAGCGAAGAGGATTGGCATTACTGTCCACCGTTGCTAAGTTTTTGCACTTGTATTTTGATATATGTAAAGAATTATATTTTATAAGTAAAGAAAAATTTGGGTTCAACTATTTTCATATGTTATGTATGTTTTTATTGTATATATTCTAAAGTATACTAGTAGAAAGAAGTCATTACATTTTGGTATCAGAGCAAAGATTTTAGGATTTGACAATGTGTCATTCTCACCGTCGCGACGTTCCATAGCCGACTATTGTAAGTTAAATTCTTTCCTTACTTAAAATGTTGTCTGAATTGATTAAATTTGGTTGTTTTGTAGATGAGACGCAAAACGCGAGCAAGTAGTAAGAAAACAATGAGTACGGGAGAACCGTCTAACCCACCAAAACCTACTCCCCCTACCCTTGATGAAGCTAGAATTCAGGGGATTGTACAACAACTTTTAGGAGAAAGACAGGGGAGAGTCGAACCAGAAAGAATTGAAAACCCCATTCAAGTACCGCCTACTAGAGAAGAAAGAAAAATGCCGGTACCTCAGACAATACAAAATCGGATTGAGCCGATTTATGGGCTTCCAAGTCAACATCAGCCGTCAGAATTTAAAGGTACAACGGACCCTTTAGTGGCAGAAGAATGGCTTAAGTCCATTGAGCGTACGACTGCACTGTTTCCCATGACGAACAGGGAGAAGATCCGGTATGCCAGTTTCTTGTTTCGAGGTGATGCCCGAATTTGATGGAAATTGATGGAAGATACTCATGATGCTTCTGTGATGACCTGGGGTGTGTTCAGAAGAGAATTTGAAGCTGAGTATAGAACGGAATACCAAGTTCATGAGAAAGTCCAAGAATTTATTAGTTTACAGTAGGGGTCTAGTACAGTGAAAGAGTATTCATTGAAATTTAATTCTCTTACCAAGTTTGCACCCGAAATAGTCAGTACTCCAGAATTGAGAAGAGGTAAGTTTGTCCATGGGTTGAAGCCGGAGATAGCTCGTGATATAATGACGGGTTGTAATGACTTCTTTCTACTAATATGCTCATAAAATATACTTAATAAAAATACATATATATTGACTAAAAAGTAGTTGAACCCAAATTTTTCTTTACTTAATATATACAAAAAATATCAAAATGGTGGATAGTGTAGCCATGTCTCTCCGCTTGCCGACGTTCATCCAACCGCATCCTCACCTATTTCCTGCAAAAACATAGAAAGCAACAGGGTGAACACAAAAATGCTCAGTAAGTAAATGCTCAGTAAGTAAATCCTCTACTCCGCTATCTCCGTGCATCACTCTTTAATTCTTTCCTTAGTCTACTCTTTCTTTCTTTTTTCTTTCTCTGTTTCTTACTCTCACCGTTCTTTTCTTTCTTTCTACTTCTATATATTCTTTCTTTCATATTCTTTCTATTCTTCCTGACCGTGATGAAATAGCAATATACATGAATAAAATACATATGCAATAATGCACAAAATGCTTTTTCTTTCTTATTTCTATTTTCGTGTTCTATTTTTTCTTTTCTTTTCTTTTCTTTTGTTTTCTTATTCTTTCTTTTCTTATTCATTGCCGATCGGTCTCGGATAATGTATGGATTTGGAACTTTGGCCGTGTGAGTGAGTACAGTCCTTATCTACATGCACTCTTGCGAACCGTACGAAAGCTTCTTTCTTCTTTCTTCTTAGGCCACTCAATTAAGGTGACGTGCATGTAGGAAATTCTTCTTGGTACAACCCTCATCCAGATACACTCTTAGGGGGGGGTACAATTTTTCTTCTTCTTATGCCACTCAATTACGGTGACGTGTATGTGAAAATTTCTTCTTAACACTCATGGTTCCCCATCACATCAACCTATTCTTTACTTTTCTTTTAACACTCTTTAATTCTTTAATACTTATTCTTCCTTTCTCTTTATTCTTAGAGTGTTTTATTCCTTCTTTCTTTATTCTTTATTCTCCATTCTCCATTCTTTATTCTTTCTTAAATTTCTACACATATCCAATTATATGCATATGGATGGCTCATGCTTAAAATTTCTTACTTAATGCACTTATGAAATGCACAAATACAATGTTGCATAAAAGGTAGTCATTCTGCTCATGTCATATTCAAGAAGGCATATCTCGAATTATACACATCAGATTGCTACGATCTTGGTCTCGTTTTAAAGCTTAGAGACAGTACTACAACTTTTATGTTTAGGTCTCAACCCAGTTCAATCGGTAAGATGTCCAAAAATCACTCAGAAGGTCACAGCTGTTACAGGACAACCATGGTAACATGTTTTCACTTAGGCATTTCATCAAACAATAATTGTGCCTATACAAACCCTAATTTAATTATCATTCAATTTGTTTCCTAAACCATCCAAACTGAGAGAAAAACTCTCTTGTATCATCACCATAACCCCATAGCACAAACACTCCCACAATACTCTTTCAATTTCAACCCATCATCAAACCATCACATACACTTCTCATATTCAAATAAATCCAACAACAAGCATAAATAATCATCAATCTCATCTCAATTTCTCAATAATCATAACACATGCATAATTAAAAGAAATCTCTACTCACTTGATTTTCTTAAACTTTAACTTGAGTTGGATTTTGAGTGGAATTTACTTACCTTATGTTTGAGTAGTCTCTTCTAAGCTTTCTACTCTTGTTGGATTCAAATCTTCTCTTAACCCTAAGCATAAACTTCATAAGAACTCAACTTTTACACAAATAAAACATAGATAAAGAACATGAATCCTTACATTTTGATGCCTTAAATCAAAACCCTATGAAAATCTACTCAAAAGCCCTCAAATTCCTTAGAGAAGTGAATGAAAATTTGAGAGAAAAAGGAGGCGGCGTGTGGGGGTGGAATGAACGAAATAAGGGTTTCAAACCCTTAACATTTTAGTTTATAAACTCACTTTCCCATTTTGCCCTTACTCTTTCTTAAAAATTTCATCTTTGTCCTTTAATCAATTACCAAAATGCCCTCACTTTTATTGTATTCTCTATGATTTTCTCTCTTTTCACTTCCCACAAAATCAACTAGTTTTAAGTGAAAAGAATATTTTACCCTTAATGCAAGTTTAAGGCATTTTCTTCATATTCTCTTAAAATACTTCTAACAAAATTTAACTAAGGGTTATACAACATAATTTAAATCATGTACCTCCATGTTGGGTGTTATACGGGTGTCGATCCCCCTCAAACCTATAGTGAGGCCTTAAGGCGAGCATTGAGGACGGAAATATTTGAGAACAAAATCACCCCAACAGGTCCCTCGATAGGAGGATCAAGTGAACCATCTCCTGCCCCATAGAGAGAGATTTGAAAGTGCAAGAAACAGGGAAGTGAAGAATAAGAAGTTTCAATCGAAGAAGAACAAGAAAGATTTGCAGAAAAAACGACCGAGAACAGCGGAGTTTCCCCCATGTCCTAAATGTGGGAAGACTCATCTAGGGGAGTGTTTGAGAGAGTTGGGCCGTAATGTATGTTATCGATGCCAGCAGGCAGGGCATCTGATGAAAGATTGTAAAGTTTCCCTTCCATCTACAAGACAGACTTCCAAAGGCACTAATGTCAGGGTATTTACAACAGCACAAGGTGAAGCAGAGGCCAGCCCATCAACTGTTACGGGTCAGTTATTATTTCATGCAGTTCCTCTTTATACTTTAATTGATTCTAAAACCACTCATTCATTTATATCTTACAGGATGATAGAAAGATTAGGTTTGAAACCTACTAGAGCGAGCAAACCCATTAAGATAGAATTACCTGATAGGGTTAGTGTTGTGACCCATGAGATGCTGTCAGGAGAGTCCGTAGTGATCCATGGTCAAGAGTTGGCAATTGATTTAATAGTGTTTGATATGCCCGACTTTGATGTGATTTTGGATATGAATTTCCTAAGGAGGTATGGAGTAGAAATTGACTATCGGAAAAAGAAAACGAGATTTAATCTTAATAGCGGAGATAAGTTTAGTTTCGGAGAAGGCCATCAGCTGAGTATGTTGATTTGTAGTATGAAGGCTAAAAAGATGCTAAGCAAAAGGTGTTCTAGATATGTAGCCCATGTGGTGCAAAGTAGAGATGTCCCACAACCAGAATTGCAGAGTGTGCCAGTAGTCCGAGAATTTCCATAGTATTTCCAGAAGACTTACCGAGTTTGCCTCCAAAAAGAGAAGTTGAGTTTAGTATTGAACTGGCACTAGGGACAGCGCCGATTTCTAAAGCCCCTTACCGAATGGCCCTAGCCGAGCTCCAGGATTTGAAGAAGCAACTTCAAGAGCTCCTGAATAAAGGTTTTATCTGACCAAGTCATTCTCCCTAGGGAGCTCCAATTTTGTTTGTAAAGAAGAAAGATAGGCCATTACGGATGTGTATTGATTACAGAGAGTTGAATAAAGTGACAGTGAAGAATAAATACCCGTTACCTCAGATAGATGACCTTTTTGATCAATTAAAGGGTGCAGCAATATTTTCCAAGATTGATTTGAGGTCTGGTTATCATCAGGTAAAAGTGGCAGAACAAGATGTAGCTAAGACTGTCTTTCGAACAAGATATGGGCATTATGAATTTGTGGTGATGCATTTTGGGTTAACTAATGCCCCAATAGTCTTTATGGACTTAATGAACGGGGCATTCCATGATTATCTGGATCAGTTTAAAGTAGTCTTTATTGATGACATCCTAGTTTATTCGAAGTCAAGAGAAGAGCATGAGGAACACTTTAAGATTTGTGCTACAGCGATTGAAAGAAAAGATGATGTATGCCAAGTTTTCTAAATGTGAGTTCTGGCTTGATCAGGTGATATTTCTGGGTCATACTATTTTTAGTGAGGGAATTTCAGTAGATCCTAGTAAAGGCAATCCTCGAATGGCAAAGGTCAAAAACAATAAAAGAAGTGAGGAGTTTCTTAGGACTAGCAGGTTACTACCGCCGGTTTGTGGTAGAGTTTGCCCAGCTAGCGAAGCCATTAACAGCTCTTACCAAACAGAGAGTTCCTTTTATATGGTCAGTTGCCTGTGAAGAGAGTTTTCAAGAGTTGAAGAAAAGATTAACGACAGCTCCAGTGTTAGTGTTACCACAAGAGGGTGTAGGTTATGACATTTACACAAATGCCTCACTGTAGGGACTTGGTGCCGTATTGATGCAGTTAGGTAGGATTATAGCTTATGCTTCTCGTCAATTGAAAGAGTACAAGACAAGATACCCTACACATGATTTAGAGTTGGCAGCAGTAGTTTTTGCCTTGACGATTTGGAGGCATTACCTTTATGGTGCCAAGAGTAATATCTACACCGACCATAAGGGTTTAAAGTATTTCTTTACTCAGAAGGAGTTGAATATGATACAGAGAAGATGGTTAGAGCTGGTTAAAGATTATGAGTGTGAGATTAAATATCAGTCGGGGAAAGCTAATGTAGTAGTCGATGCTTTGAGTAGAAAAGCTTATTTGTCCCGCCTCACAAGACAGAAAGAATTAATAGAACAGCTGTGTAAAGAGCAGATTAAGGTCATACCAGGAGGGATTGCCAGGTTAGAGGTTCAGTCTACCTTACTGAAAGATATTAAAGAAAAGCAAGTAACCGATAAGTGGTGTCAGAAAATAGTTCAACAAGTACATGAGGGCAAAACATCAGAGTTTCAATTGTTGGATGATGTTCTCTATTTTAGGAGACGATTGTGTATTCCTCAGGATGATGAGTTGAGAAAAAGAATCCTTCAAAGGCTCATGACACACCGTACACTGCTCATCCAAGATGTATCAAGATTTAAGGAAATGCTATTGGTGGCCAAGTATGAAGAAAGATATTGCAGAGTTTGTAGCTAAATGTCTGGTTTGTTAGCAAGTTAAAGCAGAACACCAAAGGCCATCAGGGTTGCTTCAGCCACTTAGTATTCCTGAATGGAAATGGAAGAGTATTTCGATAGATTTTATTACAGGTCTCCCTAGAGTGCAAAAAGGATACATCGCTATATGGGTGATTTTAGACAAACTAAGTCAGCCCATTTTCTTCCAGTAAAGGAGAGTACCACTTCGAATCAATTGGCCCAGATGTATATTAAAGAGATAGTGAGACTTCATGGTGTACCCAAGACAATAGTATCAGACAGAGATTCCAGATTGGTTTCAGCTTTCCAGATGAATTTACAGAGGAACTTGGGCACCAGATTGGCTTTTAGTACCGCCTATCATATCCTCAGACAAATGGCCAGACAGAGAGAACAGATCAAGTGCTTAAGGATATGTTGAGAGCATGTTGTATGAATTATAAAGTATCCTGACATGAGATGTTACCCTTGGTGGAGTTTGCTTATAATAACAACTACCACTCTACAATTAAGATGGCTCCTTATGAAACTTTGTATGGTAGACGATGTAAATCTCCACTGCATTGGGATGAGTTGAGTATAGCTCTTGAGCCAGAAATGACTCAAAAAATGATAGAAGATCTAAAGCTGATCAGAAGCAGAATGAAACAAGCCCAAGATAGGCAGAAAAGTTATACTGATCTGAAAAGAAAGGAAGTTGAGTTTTAAGTGGGTGATAAAGTTTTTCTGAAAGTTTTCCCCTACAAACGGGTGATGCAGTTCGGTAATAAAGGAAAGTTAGCACCGAGATTCATTGGTTCATTTGAGGTGTTACAGCAAGTAGGAAAGATGGCTTATAGATTAGCACTACCACCCAGTATGGACAAAGTTCACAATGTATTTCATGTCTCGATCATTTAAAAGTATATAAGTGATCCCTCCCATATTCTGATCATAGAAGACGTAGACTTCGAGAAGAATCTTGTGTATGAGGAGCAATCAGTGCAGATTTTAGACAGAAAGATTAAAGAGCTCCAGAACAAGAGTATCCCTTTAGTGAAAGTCCTTTGGAGAAATAATAAAATTTAAGAAGCTACATGGGAGACAGAGCAAGACATACAAAACCGTTACCCGAAGTTGTTTGTTTGAATTTCGGGGTCATAATTCTTTTAAGGGGGAGAATTGTAACGCTCAAAATGGAGGTACATGATTTAATTTATGTTTTTATAGCCCTTAGTTAATTTTTGTTAAAGTGATTTTAAGAGAATGCAAAGAAAATACCTTAAACTTGCATTAATGGTAAAATGATCTTTTCACTCAAAATTAGTTGAAAAGAGATAGAATTTCATAAAGAATGCATTGAAAATGAGGACATTATGGTAATTGACTAAGGAACAGATGAAATTTCTAAAAAAGAGTAAGGGCAAAATGGAAAAGTGTGTTTATAAACTAAAGTGTTAAGGGTTTGAAACCCTTATTTTCTTCATTCCACCGCCACACTCCTCCCCCATTTTCTCTCAAATTTTCATTCAACCCTCCAATGATTTTGAGGGCTTTTGAGTGGTTTTTCATAAGGTTTTTATTTTAGGCTTCAAAAGGTAAGAATTTATGCTCTTTATCTATGATTTATTTGTGTAAAAGTTGAGTTCTTATAAAGTTTATGCTTAGGGTTAAGAGAAGATTTGAATCCAACAAGAGTAGAGAGCTTAGGAGAGACTACTCAAGCATAAGGTAAGCAAATTCCACTCAAAATCCAATTCAAGTTAAAGTTTAAGAATTCAAGTGAGTAGATATTTCTTTTAAGTATGCATATGTTATTATTATTGAGAAATTGAAATGAAATTGATGATAAATTATGTTTCTTGTTGGATATATTTGAATATGAAAAGTGTATGTGATGGTTTGATGATGGGTTGAAATTGGAAGAATTGGAGAAATTTTTGGGAGTGTGTTTACCGTGTAGGTATGGTGATGCTATAAGAGAGCTTTTCTCTCTTTTTTTGAATGGTTTGAGAAACAAATAGAATGATAATTAAATTAGGGTTTGTATGTGCACATTTCTTGTTTGATGAAATGTCTAAGAGAAGTATTGAGTTTGGATAGAAACTTTAATTTTATGCAACATTGCATATTTGCATTTCATGAGTGCATTTAAGTAAGAATTTTAAGCATGAGTCATCCATATGCATATATTTGTATATGTGTAGAATTTTGTTTAAGAATAAAGCATGAAGAATAAAGAATAAAGAATGTTAAGAATAAACACTCTAAGAATAAAGAGAAATAAAGAAAAGCCATTAAAGAATTAAAGAAAGAAAAGTGTTAAAAAGAGAAAAGAATAGGTTGTGCGATGGAGAACTGTAAGTGTTAAGAAGAAATTCCCACATACACGCCACCTTAATTGAGTGACATATGAAGAAGAAGAATTGTACGACCTGTAAGAGTGTATGTAGATGAGGGTTGTATCAAGAAAAATTCATACATGTACGCCACCTTAATTGAGTGGCCTAAGAAGAAAGAAGATATTGTACGGTCCGCAAGAGTGCATGTAGATGAGGATTGTACTCACTTACACGGCCAAGGTTCCAAATCCATGTATCAACCGAGTCCGATCAGCAAAGAATAAGAAAATAAAGAATCAGAAAAGAAAGAATAAGAATAAGAATGAATAAGAATGAGAAAAGAATGAATAAGAATGAGAAAAGAGAGAATGAGAAAGAGAAAGAGTAAGAATAAGAAAAAATAAGAAGGCTTGAACAAACAAAGAAGAAGAAAAGAAAAAAAAACAAGAAAGAAAAGAATAGGAAAAAAAAAATGGAAAAAGAAATAGAAAGAAGAAAGAAAATACATTTTTGCAATATTGCATATGCATTTCATTCTACATATTTCCATGAATTTCATCATGGTTGGAAAGAATAGAAAGAATAGAGAAAAAGAAAGAACAGAAAGATAGAAAGAACAGAGAGAATTCAAAAGAAATAAAAGAACAGTGAGAATTAGAAACAGAGAAAGAAAAGAGAAAGAATTAAAGATGAAAGAAATAAGAAGAAAATTAAGGAAGAAAAGAACCAAAGAAGGAGAAGAGTTAAGGGATTTATTTACTGAGCATTGTTATTGTATTAATTTGACTATAAGTTCTTGATACTTCGGATTGTGTTGGTGAACTAGGTTGACTTGATGTGTTTTCGTATGCAGGTTTTGGTACAAGAGGGGAATAATTCACTCCTACTAACTTACTTGTTGAAGTTTCTGATGAAGGTCTAGGTGTAATAATTTCTTCAATCCTAAGGTTGTGATGATTTTTGTTAGTAACTATGGATTGATTTTGTTCTAAGGGTGTTTCTCTAAATTTTAATCTTATTGTACCATCTGGTTCTTGTATTATTTGTTTTATCTCAGATTCATTTTGATCATGTAAAAGTTTTGGAGGGCATAATTTTTCTAATTTCCAATCTGTTTGTTTAATAATTTCATCCCAAGCTAATCTTTTTGGTGTAAAAGTTTTATATTTTGTTTTATCGGCTTCCATTATAACTGTGTCCTAGTGGGCACATCCTAATGGCTCTTAGCCAAAATTCTCTTATTCTCACCATGACCCACCACATGTTCTAAAAATGTCAAGATTTCTCCCTTCAACCCAACACTTCTTATTCATTTCATTTTCACTTCTAATTAAACTTCTAAAAATTAATAGATACCCTTGCATAAAAATTGAAAATAAAAAAATATATAATATATATATTAGGATTAAAAACAAAAGTATATAAAAACAAAATCCAAACTTACCCTAGGGGTTGTTCCATTCCCAAAATCTAAAAGTTCTTAAGGACAAAATTTAAATAAATATAAAATCAATTTTTTAAAATTTGAGTGGGGATTGTAATCCTCACTCGTCATTCATTGGATTGGATCTACCACTGTCAATAATCCTATACAACCCCCAACCAATCGCCCTTAAGTAGTTGAGTCTGTTATCAAAGAAAACACCATGAAAAGTTCCGATGTTGGATGATTACAAACCGTTTGATCAAGATCAACCATCATGGTATGATATCTAAGTTTATCAAACCGTTGAGAATCACTCAATAAACTTACCACGAACCACGTGATCCACAAAACATAACTCAGCACAACCGAGTCTTGATTTTAGATCCTAATTTCTTGGAACAATCTAAGCTGCGCAACGATCGTTTCTATTTGATATGCTTAGATCGGATATGGTATTATAGTTTTGAGAACTGTGTTGATCAATTGGGTCTCCCTCTCTGCAGATAATCCCTTGCCAAAGCCGGATGTTAGCACGATAACAAAGTGCAGAAGAGGAGAGCATAGAGATTGACAAAATTATTACAAAGGATATGTAACACATTGGAACAAAAGGCGGTCCACACGTGTCAATGGTCTACCCTTGCCTGCTATTGCAGAGGATGAAATGGAGCTGTCGCCTTCTCCAATGTGCCGACCTGAAATGGAGACTCGTGATGGTGAGCTGTCCACTATAGGTATTAAAGGAGCCATTTTCGCCTTCTCCCCATATCTTCCCAAAAGGCAACTCTATTGAGGTGTCTCCTTCCTCTATACCGGTACCGGATGAAGTAGATCAGCCTCCTCAAGAGCACCAAACAGAAATGCAGTTTGGTGGTGCTTGTCAGGTTAGAAAGAGGGGTCGAAAGAGATATGCTACTCCAAGGTTGAAATCAAAGCGAGCAAGCATCCACCTAAGGTGTTAAAATCATTTCTACGGGACAAGACTTTCAATCAAAGAATTCAGAAGAATGAGAATGAGATAATGAACTTCACATACACTTTTTGTGATATATATATATCACACACAATATGTATATACATAAATATAAATCAAGGAGGCAGGGGCGAATGCAGTGTAAGTTGAAGGTAATTTAAAAAAAAAAATATTAATATGTTTTATATCTCACAAGATTTGGTTTGACCCACCCTTAATTTTTTTCTTTTAAGTATTAATATATTTGATAAAATCCGGCTCACTTTCAACTTTTATATTAAAAAATTCTAGCCCGCCTTCAATTTTGTAATAAAACCTGCAAAACGTAACGTCTTCCCTTCACGTCTTCCTCTATATAATCCTTTAGACTTCAACAAAATTCTATTAGCTACCCAGGTCATTAGCATTGTATCAACTTTATTACAAAATTCATCAATTCAAATTAAAACCATAAAACAAATTAAAAAATTCATCAATTCTAATTAAAGTCATCAAAGAAATTTAAAAAATTTAATTACCTCAATCCTCAAATAAATTGGGGTCAAAGTGAACCCAGGATTTGAGTATCGTTGCCTCCTTGATTCTATATTTCTATTATCTATATATTATTTTTCTTCCAAATTTTGGGACCACAATCATTTACCTATCACAAAATATTGAAATCTAAAAACTTCCCTTTTTTTCCTAAAAATTTTCTCAATAAAAAATTCGATGCTAATACACACAAACGAATGAACAACATTACCAAAAACAAAAATGTAACTAATCGATGACAAAAGCCGAGTAAGCCCCTAAGTGAAAGTGTTAAATAACTGATAGAATTTCGTTGAAATCCAAAGGATTAGGCAGACAAAGACGTGAGGGTTTGTAGAGGAAGACGTGAGGGTTTGAAAGTTTTGTTACAAAATTGAAGATGGGCCAAGATTTTTTAATATAGAAGTTAAAAAGTGGACTGAATTTTATCAAATATATTAATATTTAAAAAAAATTAAGGTTGGGTCAAACCAAATCTTGTTAGATATAGAACATATTAATATTTTTTTTTAATTTGAGGGTGGGCCTTTGCATCCGCCCTTACCTCCTTGTACACTCTTCATAATTTCGTATGGAAGCCATTCTTCACCAATTCCACAAGTAGATCAAAACCTTCTTCAAAATTTATACATATCAAACCTACTATCAATCGGATGTCCAAAGTCATTCGATTCATAAATTAATGACTTTTCTTCAATAAAAATTAAAAAAAAAAAAAAAAAAAAACTATTTTAAAACTTTAATTGCAAAAACCATATGGAAGAACCGAACCTAATAGTTCAAATTACATAAATGGTTAGTATCTAAGCATTAAAAGTATGTAAAAGCTAATCATGGGCTGGTAGAAATGAAGGGGCACATAAAAACTTATCTATTAGGACTAACAAATTTTTAGAATAGAGAAATGTGATTTCCAATTTTTTTTATTATTATTATTATTTTTTTTTTTTTATTCCTTTTTTCATTTGAGTAAGGCAGCAAAAAGAAAGGGATGCCAGGTGAACCTTAGATAAAGCTGATATAAACTTGCTTTTACAGGGCAAACATAGTTAGTATAAAGTTCATTCCAGCACAGAAAATAATAATGCATGAGGTGCGGATAGCTAATGAATGTCTAACTTCTAGATTATCAAAATCACATTACCAACACCAATAAGGTGCATAAAAGATCAAGGAAAATTGCCTAAAAGATAAATGGTAATGGAGCTAAATCAGTCCAAAAGGACCAAATAAGAATTATCAGTAGAATAAAACAGCTGAAAGCAAGAAAGAAAAATCCAGTATGATGCCTCGAAAAAGGCCAAAAGTCCCATGACTAGCAATCTTGCATTAACTGCAGATATGAGCTAGACAAAAAACAGAATCCTTATCAAGTTTATTACTCTATAACAAGATATTGACCAGAAACACTTAGCCTGGATGTCAGGAAGAGAATGATTCATAAATATATTTTTAGTGTCAATCACACAAAGATTTATCAAGAAAACTGCTAAATCCAAAGACTTTTGCTCCAAAGCATCTCCAAGACTGCCTATCTTATATTCTAAATGCTTATTAAGCTAAATTGGAAACTGGAAATTTTGTTCCGCACAGTTTATATAGATCTATTGTTTGATCATTCATTTCCTCAGCAAAAATAGGATTCTTCAACATAAACAAAATGGAAAAATGAAATGATTTTTAAATAAAAAGAAAATGAAAAAATTAATTCAAGCAATGTTTCAAGAAACAGCCAAAGGCCTAATGAGAAGAGTGGCTAATTTCAAGCACCAAAAATTTTAGCATGCACATCACCATTACTCCAATTATAAATTAAAGTAGTTTTCGAAGCTGTAAGTTCAATTCACTAGTTTCAAAAACTTTCAATCATCTTAATCAACTACAACACCCTAAAATGATTTGATAAAAGGCTAAAATAGGTTCTCAAGGCATGTGAGCAAAAGAAGACCCCGTAAACACACACATTGAGTCACAAGCGCATGAACAAAGCAATGTATAGATTAATAACAATCAATTAGCAAGATAATATCTTCTAAGTATAAGATTCTCACCAAAGAAGGAGAGGAAGGGGAAGAGAGAGCTGTATGAGGAGACAGAGAAATCAGTACCTGAGAGTTACCAGCACGATTCTCTGGGTCCTCAATTTCTCCTGCAATGAATGGACAATTAAAACTCTGGCAATTGGATAACCGCAAAAGCAGTGAAATGAATATCAAAGGAAAATAATTGTTAAGCACACTTACGATCATTTATTCCAGCAAGGGCTAACAATCGAGCAGCCATCTCTCTTTCTTCAGCAACCTGAATTGCTCTTACGTATGCCTCATCACTTGAAAAAACATCGGAATCATATTCGACACTAGGGTTGTTATCGTCCTCGGCATCTTCATCATGATGATGCACATCAAATGCATCTTCATCGTCATCATCCTCACCATCTTCAACATCGGTGCCATCAAACTCCTGATTCTCATTTCCCTCTTCATCAGTCTCATCATCTGGCCCATCAAAATCATCATCTTTATCGTACGAATAGCTTCCAGCTTCCATTATCACTACCATCATTATTCATCCACAGCATCATCTATGCCCTTTCCTACTCACACAATCAATCAAACAATCGATCAAGCAATCAAAACAATCGTCAATGAGATAAATCATAAATTGCTAGAATTAAATAGAGGACCTGTTCTTGACGGGATCGGAAAAGAGCCAGGTCAGCATCGACCTGACTGAGGTTAGTGAAAGGAGTTCTTGCTCTCGACGGCGTCTGTTGTTGTTGATCTTGGTTCAAGTTGGACCCTGTGTTCGCTTCTTCTGCAACTACTTGTTCGGTCAAGTTATTGTTATTGTTAGGGTTCTCTTCCTGTTCTCTTCGAGGTGGTTGTTGCTTCCATTGTTGGCTGTTTGGACCCGTTGTCCATCAATTTTCAAGATTTCGAATCAAAAAAACAAAATTTCTTATCCCGTGAGGCTCCATTATTAAATTGGTTTTGATAGGGTTTGGATCGAAGTCAGGAATTTATTGAGAATCTTAATAGGTATATAAGAGGCACCGAATAATTGGAGAGAGAAAGAAATACGAATACGTGCCGTGTTGTGTTGTATTTGAAAATCGGGAGAAAATTAAACGAAATGAAAAGCTACTGGCTGGTTCTTGGGCCGGCCCGGGCTGCTTCGGTGGAAGTTAGACGTATCCAATTGTTTATGGACCGTCTAATTATTTGGACCTGCCCACTGAAATCGCAGAAGAGAGTTTGAATAATGTTACGACCGAAGCGGTGGTACATGAAATTGATAAAAATTTTAATTACCCCTACAGTTTTGAAAATTGTAAAGAGACGGTAAGTTTGGGATTTTTTAATCAATTCTCCCTAACATGATAACATTTCCAGAAATTACTCTGAAATAAACCTTACCAACATGTTAAAGTATAGTAGCGAAGAAATTAAGAAAAATTAATAATTTGAAATCACCAATGATTAAAATATCAAAACATAAATTAAAATAAGTATTTCAAAAATAATATTATATAATTTTTATTAAACTAAAATAATTAAATATAAAGAGCTTGTAATAAATAAATTAAAGAGAACATTATAGACTTGAATATTTATTTTTTATAATTTATTGTTTGTTCATATGATATTTTAATTAAAGGGTAAAGTAAATTGTTTTGAGTTTATTATCGAAACATATAAGGGAAACCTTGACTAATTTTTGAAACATTAGAGAGAAGGTTAAATAAAATCCTAATTAAATTTAATAAATTTCAATAATCATAAAGTTTTTTGAATGATTTTTACCCTCGAAAAAAATCTATATCTTTATAAAATCCCAATAGAATCTTCGTCTAGATAAGGGTAATCTTAACGGATGATATATAAAAGAATTCAGCATTCCTACATGATTTCATGAAATCTTTTTAATTATTACTTAATTGTATTAGAAGATCTTTTAAGTGTTATTGAATGAATGTTTTCAGATTCAAGTGATATATTAATTATGTTAATTTTAATTATTTTTTATAAAATTTCAAAACGAATATAGGTGAGAGATATTTAGGTTTTATTTTAGTCAATTGAGTTAAAGTGAAAATCTTTGCTTTGGTCAAAGTATTATAATTCTAACAGAGTTAGGATTCGGAGTAATTATTGAAGAATTTTTGTAAAGTTTTGGAGGTGTTTGATTAAAAATGTGAATAGCTGGCAGCAAAGATAAAGGGAGGTAATTGATTTTCAGCCTTTAATTAATTCATTTTCAATATATATATTTATAAATAATAAGGGGAAAAAAAAAACCAGTATACTATTCTCATTTTTTTTTTTTTTCTATTTTAAGAAACAATTAAATTTATGACCTGTAACTGAGTCTAAAATAAATTGAATGTAATTGAAGGAAACTTACAACTTTATTGCTTTATCATTATGTCCACATAGGAACCTTTCCCTCTCTCAAAGTGTTTTAAAAACTTCTGAAATTTTTTGACTTTTTGTGAGCTTCAAAACTTATTGCTACCACAGAAGTTATCATATTTAATACTACACAGACCGGATGTCAAAAAGATTTGAATCCGTTAACACATTAATACATTACAGAGAAAAGATAAAGTTGTCTGACCAAGTGATGAGCTGTCTTGGAATACGTGGTCGTTAATTATTGAGGATCGTTCTGAAAATGGCAGACAAACGATAAGGCTTATAAAAATCTTGCTTTTGTCAGGGGAGCTTGACAATTGTAACTCTTGGGAAAGGATAAGTCTGATGGATGTCTTGATTTTGGAATAGATAATTTGACAATTGCTTTTTTTTGGTTCTGACAATTACAATTCCTTGAAGTCTTGATATTTGTAGAGATGCTTCTCCATTTGATAAAGGTCAGTTGGAGTAAAATCCTTAACATCGGGCCGAAACTTTTGAATCTTGAGAATATATGCAGATCCAAAATCTGAAAGATATCTTGAAGAACATTTATTGCTAGCAGTGAAAAGTGATGCAAGCATATGAAAAGTCTTGTATGAAACTCTTCTTGAAAGTGTTTTAGAGGCCTAGAAAATCTAGATCCGCCGAACAGTCTAATATGAATACAACACCAACACATCGTGCATGCGATCAACTTTCTATTATTGAATTCAAATAATTAATCTGGTTTTGGAACATGACCAAATAGTCGTCCTCAACATTCTGACCAATTCACTTGTGACCTCTGGTGCTCAGTAACTAGAGTCTGCTTTTTGGATTTGAAGATCTCAACTGTGCACATCAAAGATAATATGTTATCCTACACAATCTTAGGTTGCGTTTGGCATTGAGCCAACACTCAGCACAGAAGTCTTGATTTTGCTCACAATTGTTGATTGTTGTGGAGCTACATAACCTGCGGTGTTGAGAGATCCACATCTGGCACAGCTGGTGGACTAATCATTTTGGACTGGAAAACTAGTCACCATTAATAAGAAATTTCTTGTAATTCCCTAATTTTTGGGAGAGAGGATGTGTATGTAGAAATTGCCACTCTTCCAGGCATTAAGAAATTGTGAAAATCTAGTCAAGGGTCTTCACTATTGTTGAAATTCTTGTGAACAGTAGAATATCCTTCCAAGAACCAAGGTGTGGAGTTTTTTTATTTAAAACCGAAAAAATTAAACCATTGTTGAAACCATTTTGGAACGTTTGGACAAGTTTTGTCCAAAAGAAAGAACCAGAGGTGGTTGTATGGTTTAAACGAAAGATGAACCAACAGCTTTTTTGATACATCTTTATAAGAAAATTCTTGGGCATTAAGTTTTGATACACAATGGGTTTTTTGATAAATTCCATTTGCGCTAGTCTTGGTCTAAAACTTTTTAATTTTGCATTTTGAAAAAGCAATTCTCTTGGTATCATTTTTACTAGGGGATTAGTGGTAATCTCTATTAATCTATCCACTAGAAATAATTCATAAATTTTTGTTTTTAATAAATCATCAAGACATAAAATACAAATCTAGAAGGAAATTTTTTGATAAAGTCTCTTGCATAGTTTGTCCCCATATTCAGGTTCCAATATCCAAATTGATTTGACTAATCTTTCTCAATGTATTGAAAAGTGGATTATTTAACAGCTTGTATGGAGAGGTGGTATAGGTGTGGAATATTGTAACGAGTTTGTTGTTTCTTGGTGGAGATACAGAAAGCTAATTCTTCATCAAGAAGAGTAACTGCAGTTTGTTGGGTTAATGTTTTTCTGTTTATTTGGTTTGAGGATTTGATTGTGAGGGTTTTTGTTTGGGCAATAGGTTGTTTAGGTGGTACATCGCATACGATGCTTTTTGAATTTTGGAGTTGTTTATTGGGTTTTGCATGTGGAGTGCCACTTTCTATCTTTCCTCATGTTCCTACTCAAAAATTCTGTTCCTAAGTTTTGTGATGAGATGAGACATTTAGAGAACAAACTTTTTGATTGTTTCATACTATTGAAAATAAAATTTTGAAACCTTGCCCAAATCTACGCACAAAAGTTCAACAACGTTTTTTGTAATGCAAGCATCCAAACTTTTGTGGGTAACGCACGCCCATCTTTGGGGAGGGAACATTCTATACTTTTAATTTGGTAATAGTGGTTATCTATGTGATATTGAATATTTTTTAACATTCCGAATATCTTTATTATGATGATTGACGAATCAAAGTAACATTTTGTCCTAAAATATGGTTGTTAATTTCCTTTATTAGTTACCCTAAAAGGGCTAAATTTAGTGGATAAAATAGCACTCTATATAACTCTTGATCTAAATCTTTTGACTAGAATAAAAGGTGTTTTTAATGCACCAATAAATTGTATACAACATAGTCATTAGATACTTTTATAAATTAATATTATTGTTGACCTTTACTCCCATATAATCTCCTTTTTGGTTTTTTCTAATATTTGGTTGTGGAATTAATATCCTGTTCTTATCAATTTTGGTCTGCTCCAGTTCTACTCAACTTATGTAACTATATCTAACTCATGGATTAATATTGCATTCTGATGTAACCTGCTTTTTTTTTGAAATTGAATTCAGAGAATTTCATTAATAAATGCTTCTCTCTCTCAATTTTCTTTAATATGTAATACTTTGATTTTGCAGGTTGATGGTGTCCTACATTTCTTTTGAGGCATTTTAAACATATAAACTGTCTTGATTCAATACATTTCTTGTAATTTCCTTATTTTAAAATTGATTTTTTTCAGATCATTCTTAACTCACTGTAAAGTAACTTGTGTAGGGTTTAGTCAAATCTTTTTCATATTCTTTTAGTATAATTCAAATCTACTCTTTTGTTTCCTTCTCAGGATAAAAATTAATTCTTTGGGTTTTAATAAATTCTCTTTTAATGTTCTTCAATCCTGAATTTTTCTAATAATATTAATAAAATTCTTTTATAGTTGGTGATATAAGTTTACTTGACTTAGGTCTAAATGTTTGATATCATATTTATTGATTCACTCTTACTGCACATAGCATTTGGCCCCATGCAATCCACTCATCCGAGTCTTTGTGAAACTCACTCATTGATTCAGTAAAGATTTTCTGGAATTTGATAAATCATGGTCCTTCAGTATCTCGTAATTGTAACTAGATTCTTCTTTTTCAGAGTCTGTTGCATATCATTTTTTATAATTGTTGTTTTAATTCTGATCCTATTTCTAATTTTTTTTAATTTTAATTTTTTCATAGGACACTTGCGGTTAATGACCTTGTTGTTTTATTCAAATGTGAGAGGTTTTTTGTATATTTCTTGTTAGAGAGATTTTTTCTTTACAAGTTTATCATAAAGGTTTTGTGTCGTATTTATAATCTCTTCTTTGTAATAATTTTCTATACTTGTTTTTTTTGTTTTTTTATCTTTTTTTGGTATTCGTAAATCGAGGGAGTAATATTTTTTCATAACGCATATGGCACA